TTCCTTTTTCTTTTCTTTTAAGTGTGGATCATTACACATTTCTTGAGAAAGAAAAATGGGATGTTCAAATTTCAAAATTTAAAATTTAATGACAGCTGGCTATTTATAAGTAGTTGTATACCAGTTATAAGTTGAAGAAGAAGATTCACTACAAGCAATAAAAAATAAATTAAATCAACCATACCATGTGTACTAAATTACCTTGCAAATTAGAGGATCAGCAAACACGGGCTGAAGAATTCCCATCACATCATGCAAGGCAATTGTATCCACCAGATAGTCCTTACTTTTTGTCGATATCTATTCAAGAAAAACCTCACATTAAACACAAAAACTCATATATTCTATATCTATGAATTAACTGAGTACAGTATTATGCCTCAGGGATGCAAATACACATCCACCTTAGCACTTAGATGCTTATTTCTTTTAAGAAGACATAAGACATTTCTATGGTTTCCCATATCTACCAACATTATATCAGCACATACACATGAACATTAAAAATTTACCCTTTCTTTTTTTTCAGAAAAATCCAATAGAACCCAGTTTGCATTGTATTGTACAGGAAAAAGATACCATTTTGAACAATTTAAAAATTTTTTTACACAAATGTGTAAAATTTTCACTCCTCACATACTCGAAAGGCATTCGTTTCCAAATACAAACACAAGTATCCATACCTGAATGAGAGATGTGATGCCTAAGAAAGATCGCAAACTATGCTGCTCAGTATCAACACCAAACACTTTCTCTTTACTCAACACCTCAGCAAGCTCCTCCAGCTGCGACTTCGTTTCAACCCAAACATAATTATCAGCCTTATCCCCAATCATTTCCACTTCCCCACTAAAAAGTTCCACAAATGCTGCGTTCAAATTCTTCAATAATTCCCCAATCTCCGCCTTGTACGGATGCACATTCACATAATCCCCTGCCAAAACAAATTAAAAGAAGCTAATTTCATTAACATTTCCAAACAAAATTAAAATTTTCCTTTTTTCCACCTCTTCAAATTTACCATTGGCGGCGCCGGCAGCTTCCTGGAGCTTCAAATGCTTGAATTGAGAGTAAGAATTGTCTGCCACAACGCGTTTGAAACTGAATTGAGGTTTTCTAGGAGATTCTGTATCGAGATAGCAAGATTTCGATTGTTTCTTCTGTTTTTGCCTTCTGTTTTTTCGAATTTGTACTGCCAAAATGACGGAGATCGCCACCGCGACTGTGATTGAAAGTGCAAGCTTGAACTTGCTGCTTCGATCTTCCATGGTGATTTAGCGTTTTCTGGAATCTGGATTTTCCCCCTTTCTTCTTCTTTTTCAACTTCAGCTGGGCTGCATTGGGATGAGTCAAAACGACCGGAATTTGAAGGTTTTGGTAGGGAGGGGTTTAAGGAGGCTATTTGTTTGTTGTTGAATTTAAGCAGTAAAAGTGGGTTTGGACTGGGCCGAAGGTAAAATAGCTCAATTATTTTTTTTTTAGTAACCCGAAACATGCTCGACTCGAATCCTTAGGATCCGAGCCGGCACATCAAATCAGAGGAGTGCGCCACGGTCCCCCGCAGCGACCCTGAGTCAGTCACATGGATTTAAGTCCAGGATAAGATTCGAACTCAAGACCTCAAGGATTCTTAAGAGCTCGCTTACCGTTGGACTACTCCTATGAGGGCAATAGTCCAATTATTGATGGATTTGGGGCAGGAACGCACCCAGTATAGATCATCTGGTACAACTACAAGACCCAGATATGGCTCCAAATGGAAAATTTATCATACAACTTTTATTGGAAATGAGTATTCGTGAAATCAAAAGGTGTTGGTAAAATGTGTCAACTAACTACTTTGACTAGTTAGTCACCAAGAGAGTCTCAAGGCTTTACTTGGGTGTAGCTGATCAAGAGATCAAATCCTTTGACTTGCATTCTAAAATCCAGAGAGCTTCCTGAAATGTTTTGCCAGCGGTTACGCACCCATCTGAACTGGTGATGGTTCAATCCCCCTGGATTCCCCTCTTGGGTATACTGGGTCACACCCCTTTTCATAGTATAAAATAGAAATAAATCTATCGTGTTCGGAAAAAAAAAAGATAGTAAAATGTGTCAATAGTTTTTGAAAATATATTTAGCTGTTTTTGTATTTCTTGAGTTTTGAATTTAAAGCAGACTAATTTGTTTAACCAGTGTAAATAGATTTGAGTTTATTAAATGTTGCAAGTCAATACTTAAAAAAAAAATGAAAGAGTGAAATTGACCACAAAATATTGAAGGGCTTACAAAAAAAAAAAGGGAAAACATACTCGCCACCTTTTTTGTTGTTTCCTAAGGGCAAAGTAGGAGAATTCAAGTAAATAAACAAAAATTTTTGGTACCAAAAAGTTTGGATGGGGTTGGCTTTAATCAACACCATGGGTTAGGGCATGCCTCCGAAACCATGGATGGTTTACAGGAATTTTTACAGATTGACCACCAATACAGCCTTACAGGTACGTATTGTCTATCAACACATCCTTATATTAGCAATTAGATTTGAACATCCGACCTTTTGTAAGGAAGTGACCAAAATTTTCTATTCTATACGCCAAAGGTACACAATAAAGATACAAAAATTAGGGATTAGTATATAGTTCTAGCATTCTTTTTTATCTTCTAAGTTGTAGCATAGAGAATTTACGAAGAATGAGGGATTGATGTCATATTGAAACTATTTAGAATCTGTTTGATAGCTCAATCCATTCAATTAAACTTAATCTTTTAAGTTGCTGTTACTTTAGCATAGAGAATTTACAACTTTTGTGGGACAAAATAAAATTGGCTTACATTCTTTGTGTTGTGTACTAAGTGCATGTAACTGAAGAACCAAAACAAAGAATGAGGGATAGATGTCATATTGAAACCACTTAATCATCATGCTTTCAAACGCATTCTAATTCAGATTTTGTACATTTTTAAGGCTTATTTAGCATAAGCCAACATGAAAGACTTCAAAGCAAATGACACTTATTCTAAAGGTGAAATGAGTTGGTAACTAATAATGTACGTAGTTAATGACAGATTGGTCATGGAATTTGGCAGTCAAAAAAATCAAGCAACTTAATATGAGTTGACAAGATCACATAAAAGCTATTAAGCTAAATTAAATGAGACAATAATAGATATTAACCTTAATATGCATGGTTCCTTGGTGAGACAACATCAAAGGTTCCACAAGTTCGACGTTTGGCTCTTTATTGCCGGAGGCAACCCTGAAAGAAGGACAAAATAAATGGCTTTTTCGTAATAGACATTCCAAAAAATACATTGACTGCATATATGTTTTGAGCAAAGAACAAGTCTGCCTAGTTATTAAGATTAAAGCTACCAATTTTTTTGTCCCAAATTGACATGATAAGAGAACCCCAAATAAACAAATTTTATTAATTAGGCAGACTTGTATATTTAATTGATACAAGATTGGGAATGCAAAAAATCTTAAATGACCAGAACTGCATATTCGGAGCTAGCTAGTGTCTTCACTTGAGAATAAGTCTTACAATCACGATTTCTTACAATGCAAGAGAGAGAATACAGCTTTTTTTTTTTTTTTTTTAAAGCGGGCCTGCAGGCCAAGTTTGCATGTATTTCTTAATTTATATGACAATCAGTCCCAGCCAATTGTAATGGATATAAATAAGATGAGCAATTCATAGTTGTTTTGAGTCTACATTGTGTCTAATGGGAATCATAGTCCAAAATGGTGACAGAAACATCTAAAGTTCTGTTGTTTCTGTTATTCACTGCCTTGTTTTCCTTACTAATTCCATCATCATACTCAAGTTCCATTCCTGATAGCTTCATGTCATCAAACATCTCAGCTCTGAATGTTCTTTTATCTCCCCAACAACTCTTCTTATTTACCCATCGTGGAATCTTCAATCCAAAATCTTAGGTTCTCTGTATCAAGCACAAAAGCAAAACCTTTGGCAATAATCACTCCTCTAGAATACTATATATCACGTTGAAGCAACAGTCATGTGCTGCAAACGAAATGAGGATTCGAAGTGGCGGCCATGATTTCGAGGGCACGTCCTATAGGTCTGAAGTTCCATTCATCATACTTGACTTAGGTCAATTAGCGTTGATATTGAAGGAAATAGTGCTTGCATTGAGTCTGGTGAAACAATCGGCGAATTGCAGTATTCCATTGTTGAGGAAGGCTTTGCTCATGCCTTTCCTACTAAGGACAAAAACTCATTTGGAAATTTTTACTAAAACTTGTTGCTCAAAATCTGTTTTACAAATTAGAAATACATTAACAAAATGATATATTATACTAACAATTAATTCTCAAAACGAAGATCACTCTAAATGACATTTGTAGACTCATAACTTCTTAACAAGATTCATACTAAAACTAAGGATGGGTAGATTACTAATTACATTTTTATTTGTCATAACTCTCACAATTATTAGCATTCTATAACTCGTTAAATTAAGTAAAAATTTACTATAACATTATTTAGTGATGTCATACGACATATTTTGTATTAAAAAACTACAGCTATGTTTCGATTGCAGCTATTTGTCAAAAAATTATTTACTTGCATTACAAACACATTTTTCAATACAAATTTTTATCTCACATATATCATATCACAAAAGATATTATAGTAATTATTTCAAATAATATTTTTAATAATCTCCTATCCAAACACACCCAAATTTATTATAGTGATCTACTGGTTCAATCTAGCATCCACTGGGAATCCGCTGACCCATCCATTTCAGTGGGTTCCTCCCCTGTGTGCAAAATGGATCAGTGAGTTTACAGGCTTTTTTTCCTTTATGTTGCATCCGGGTAGTGCGTGCACGCTTTAACCCGATGGCTTGGACCTAATGAAGACAAAAATAGTAACCGCTTCCAGTTTTCTGAAATATCTTTTCCAGTCACAAGTTTCAACCGGGTTGGTTATCATCTACCAATTGAAGTTCTTAATTTGAGTCTAGATAGTAGAAACACAGAGAGAATGGAGAGGATGGCGAGTGAAGAGAAAGACGGCAGCCTAAATTCTTCAGTCGCTCAAGCTATCGATAATGCTGCCTCATTAGAAATTGATCAACCTACAGAAAGTACTATGTCATCAGGAAAGAAGGTAGATAAGAATTCTGAAGTTAGTTTTCAAGCAAAAAGCAAGAAACTGCTTTCTTCTCTTTGGGAGAAAATAATTGGGTTCAAAAGGGTGGTTCAAGAAAAATCTTTTCGATTTTGTCGAGGCGGCGACGAACTTGAACAAGCAAGAGTTTACCATTTTTGGCCTGGAAACAATGTAATCCTCCATTTGCTCTTGCTTTACATTCCAAAGCTATTTCTTATCATTGCACTTTGCTGAATCTTGATAAAGTTTTTAGTTTATTGGTTTAAATCAAAGGAGAAATGGAGGATTTGATGCTTACGCAAAAAAAAAAAAAAAAATGGAGGATTTGATGTTGGACGTCTTATTCTGAATGTAGGTTTTCTTTTTCAAGGGGAGACTGATTTGTGGTCCGGATCCAAAAGGGCTGATTTTAACTGCCATTGCTATTAGTCTATCAAGTTGGACATTTGCGGTTCATGTTGCAAGTGACATAAGGAATCCGGCCATCATCGTAACATCTTCAATTTTGACGACAGTTGTTAGTTCTAAACTAAATTTCACACACACAAACACACACACTTGTATGAGAAAGTTGTGAACGTAACTGAATGCCCTTTCGCTGATGTAACTATATATTGCCCGTAATGCAATGCAGGTTCTTGTGAACTTGGTATATGTCAGTACCATTGATCCTGGTATAATTCCTAGAAATGATCTAGGAACAATTGATGCTGGTAAACGCAGAAGGAGATCAAGGGTAGTTGTCATAAATGGGATAGAGGTGAAGTTGAAGTATTGTAACATTTGTAACATTTATCGTCCACCAAGAACTTGTCATTGTGCAACTTGTAACAATTGCATCCAAGAATTCGATCACCATTGCCCCTGGATCGGGCATTGTGTGGGACTGGTATGTACGGTGACAGCCCTGCAAGTCCTTCTGGCATTAAAATTAGTTTACTGACTATAACTTCTTAATTTTTTTCTTTCAAAATGCAGAGGAATTATCGGCTTCACGTAACATTTCTATTGACAGGATTGCTCTTGTTTGCCTTCATATTCATCTTCTCATGCAAATCTCTACATCACAAATTGCCCGGAGATGGAAATGGGGTGATTGGATTGCTAAGAAATGACCCGGAGACTGTGGCATTGACATTATTCAGTTTTGTAGCCATGTGTTTTCTTGCTGGCTTTTCTTGTTATCATGTTTATCTAATTGCTATAAACCAGGTTTGCCCTTTATACTTTCATTTATGCCAACAGTACTTATATCATCACGGTTTATCTCAAAGTTGAATTAATGCATATTTTTCTTGCATGCTTGTATTTCGTCTATGTCAAATATATTAATTAACGTGCAATTCTTTTGAGAACAGTACTGAATTTTCGGTACAACAATTATTTAAAGTGCACAGCTTTGAGGAAATTTCTGGTTTGGCACATAAATATAGAAGGGGAAAGCCAGTCTAAATAGCTGCTTAAACAAATTATGATGGAATTTCTATATTATGCCTCGTGCAGACATCTTATGAGCATTTTCACCAAAAGTATGTGAGCTCTGGAAACCCCTATGACAAAGGAATCCTAAACAACATTAAGGAGGCTCTACTTGCTTCACAACCACCCTCTAGAGTCAACTTTCGAGCAGATGTGGAGCCTGGATGGTTTGGTGGATTAAGTGATATTAGCATCAAATGATTTTATTGCATATTTAGTACGGTTGCTAGATGATTTCTTTGTTTCCTTCAATTTACTAGTCCCATTAAGGATTACATTGTACCATGTTTTGGTAGCTGAATTTCTAGTCTCAGATTGATTACAAGATGGACCTTTTTAATTAGTGACTACATAATCATACTTCCTCATTGTTTCAAACATTTTGCTGCATTTGGGGCTACCTCAACTTTGCTTATGTAAGTTTTCCAAGTTTGGTTACTTTAATTTTGTCATCAGCATACCACAATTAGGAGGAAATGCATCACTATTTATTATGTTAAATTAAGATGAAAATGTTTTGAATCTTCAACTTATTTATGTATATTTTCAAATTATAAATTGGTAGTTTGTCTCTAACATATATACGCAGCATCGATAGCGCAAAGGCATTTTGAATTCTGTCGAGTTTGAATCATTTTACAAGTATTGAAGTAATTCTTGCCATCCAATTTCTTTGAAACTACTAGAATAAATTTATTATTTGCACAATTTTTTGTTTATTGTTTGTTAGATCACTTGCAAAGTTGTTTTCAATGCAATAGAGTCGTGAAAAAACTTTATGGCTTCATTTGGATTGGCGAATTTAACGAAAGATTTAAAATTCATCCAAACCACTTTAGTTATTTGGATTGATAAAGAAGCATTTGACTTTGTAATTCACCAATTATCAATATATATATATATAATATTAGAATAATTGATGACTTATAAATTCAAATACCTCCTAAATAATCTAAACAACTACAGGAATTTGAGAGAATTTCAAATTATTCATCAAATTTTGAATCCAAACGCAGCATGAGAGAGAATGTATGTGTTTTTCTTTCGGTCACCTAAAACTGTTTTTTATGTTTTTGGATACTATAAATTCACTTTTAGCTACTCGCTCATGTAATGTGTTTCGCTTGTAGAACCACAACAAAAGTATACAGGGGTAAGGTAGAGATAATATGAGTAGATTTTTTGGCAAACTAAAATATATAGTTGCGGCTCCAAAATATTCAAATTTAAAGGGCTTTTTGAAAATTTTTAGAATTTTAAGGATGAACAGGAGAATTATCTAAATCTTTGGATAGGAGTATCTGGACTTGGAGGAGCCCTTCCAGGTCCATCTTTGATGCCATTATTTCCCCTTAAACTATATAAGTTGGGGTACGTGGCCCGAAAAATTATGCTAAAATCTCTTAAAAAATGTTCCACTTTTACCTTGCCCTCTACATTTTTCCTGAATGTTACCTATTTTGGGAGGCCTTTTGTATTTTGAAAATTATACAATAGTTTTCAAGATATCAATTTTAGAACAATTTAAAACGTTTAATAAACAACTTTACAAAAAGTTTCATAATCTTTCTAAAACAATAAAGAGAGCTTTTAGGATTATGACGATGCTCAAGTGAAGTTAGCACAATTAACTCTCTTAACTTGGCTTCTCCTTGATGTTAGATTCAAGGTTCGAATCTAAAGTCTAGTAGTTAACAGAAAGAATCTAGGGAGGGTTTTAAGAAATTTTTTTTTTTTTGGGTTTCTTCCTTCATTTTGTACAACAATCAATTTTGGAATGTGCTTGTATCAAAAGTTATTTTGTTAACTACCGGAAATCTCCCAATAGAATATTATTGTAATTCAAAGTTCAAACCAATAAAGACATATAAGTTCTTGGAAAATTTGCAAACTCAGTTGTGCGAGCACAGCACTACTATTGAAAAATTACTTTCCACAGAGTATTTGGGGTACGTATATGTCCCAATACAAGATTCGGTCACAGGAATAACAAGAAACTTGCAAAGAAAACAAGAACAACTTGATCTTAATTGATGCTCAACAGATACAACATAACCAGTATGTGTACAGAAGTAAAGGATTAAAAAAGAAAAGTAGAATGAAGATCAATCATCCATCATGAAATAAGGATCTTCAGATCAGTGTATTTCCCCTGCTTAATTGTTCTTCCTGAATTTGCTCCACTGAACTGGTACGGTTGGCACATTTAGACACCTCAATTATTTCAAGAGTTGATAGATTTTCCAAACAAGAAGGGATCTCCTCCAAAAACTTGCAGCTTTCCAGTACTAATTACAAAAAAGAAAAAGAAAAACTATTAAGAAAAAGAACAACTTGATCTTGATGCTAAACAGATACACATAACCCGTAGCAGTACATAAGTAAAGGACTTAAAAAACTTACTTGAGAAGATCAATCGTCCATTATGAGGTAAGGATCTTCAGATCGGTATATCCATTGCTTCTTTGCTCTTCCTGAATTTCCTCCAATGAACTGGTACAGCTGGGACATTTTGACACCTCAATTATTTCAAGGGCATAACTATTTCCCAAACAAGAAGGGATCTCCTGCAACGCTCCACAGCGATCCAATACTAGCTTCTGGAGACGAGGAAAATAGTACTGCTCCTCGTACTCATACTCGGAGGAGGCTGTCCACTTCACAATGTTCAAGGAAGCTAATTTCAAGAAACGAACTTTAGGGAACTTCTCTACTTCCATTTCCCATATTTCCCCCTCAAAGGCTTGTTTGAGTAATTTGAGCACCTCAAGATTGGGTAGATTTCCAATTGCTGCCATTTTGCTCCATGGCAAGCGAAAATAAGATAGGGTCAATTTTTTAATAGTCAAAGGAAATTGGAAATCTAACTGATATCGGCCACCGCCGTAAATAACGCAACTCAGACTGAGTGATTCTAACTGACTTAGACAATTCATTGCTACATGATATTGAACATCTGGCTTCAGATTGACAGAGCATCTCAGCTTGCGGATATTTGGAAACTTTCTCAACAGCTTGCTGATGTTTTCCTCAGGATCGAGAGACAAACAGGACAAGAAATCTAAGTCACGCAACTGTGACGAGTTGTCAAGATTGTCTCTAGGGAAAAAAAAACAATAATGCTTATCGACCTCATCAATTAGTTGTAAATGCCTTAGTTTCTTCAGGTTCCATATGGTATCTGGTAGTGAAACTGAACGATGAGTTGAAGAATTTCGCCAAATCAAAGTTTCCAAATTCGGGAGATTGCATACTGATGATGGGAGACTGATTTTACCTCGACCTAGAATGGCCAAGTAGCGCAAGTGAACAAGCAGTTCTACCTCTCTAGGAAAGGGGTCGAGTCCAATTTGGCTCAAATCTAACACTTTGACAAGTTTGATGATGTGAAAAATGAATCGAAGGTCAAAACTAATACTGTCTTCATCGTGACTGAATAATAATAGACTGCGTATGGCAGGAGAAAATAACCTCAAGTTGTCAAAGTGCTCGACCTTAGAATCAATAATGCATAAGCGGCGTAGGTAGCATGGCACAGTGAAAGCAGATAAGTCATCATACCTACGTACCCGCTGCAAAAGCTTTTCTTCTTTGGCTTTTGTCACACAAAACTCATATAACAAATCGTGAATGCGACAAGCTTTGACCCCATCAATGGATCTTGGTTTCGAAACTATGACTAAGCTTCTGCTAATAAGTTCCATCAGGTAATCATTTGCCACATCCTCTGATCTCTTGAGCTGAGTTTTTTGAACAAGTCCTTCAGCGACCCATAGAGAAATCAACCTCTTGGTATTGTGTTCATGGTCTTCTGGAAAGGCTCCAAAATAAAGAAAACATGCCTTCAAAGTATCAGGTAAATGTTTGTAACTCAGCTCTAATGTAGCGGTACATTGTTCCGTACTAGAAACATTCCTTGAACTTAAACCTTCCACAGCTTCTTTCCAACCATATCGGTCCATCCTTGAGAGAATTCCGGCAAGAATGACAACCGTAAGAGGTAGTCCTTGACACATTTCCACGACTTGCTGTCGAATTTCACATAGTTCTGGAGGAGCCAAATCTTGTCCAGGATATAACTTCCCTTTTAGCAAATCCCAGCTCTCATTAGGAGTGAGTTGACGAAGAGAATATGGCTCATGGTCGAGTTTGTCTTGCGGAGCAACACCACGGAGCCGACTTGTCAAGATAACTCTACTTCCATTTCCATCATCAGGGAATGAGGCTTCCAATCCGTTCCATGCATCAATGTCCCATACATCATCCAAAACAATGAGATATCTGTTTTTCAGCAAACGTCTTTTGACTTGAAGAGCCAGATCTTCTTCACCCATCTTAAAAACATCCTCAGGAAGCTTGGACTCAATACAAGTCAAAATTTGAAGCAACAGATTTCTCTTTTGATATATTTGAGAAATAGTACACCAAGCACGCTCATAAAAATGGGACTTCACTGAAGAATCATTGTACACTTTTCTAGCCAAAGTTGTCTTACCGCATCCCGGCATACCCACAATGGAAACAATTGTCACTTGGCGTGATCCATTTCTGAGTCCATTGATTATCGATGCCGTCTCATCCTCGAATCCCACCACCACATCATTGACTATTGGCTTACTTCCTTCTTGTGGCATGTGATTGAATCTCTTCGTTACTTCCTTAACTTTTCCACCAAGTCTTTCGCTATCACCAATCTTCAAGGCCGCAGCTTTAATGATGTTCATTTCTTCTAAAATGGAATGAATGGACATTGAAGAAGAATCTAAGATATTTCCAGTTATTAAGGAGTCAATAAGAAACTCTGTCCTGTATGCCACCCCAACAAGACGATTCCAAATTGCCTGGACCTCCTCATCTTCATTTTGCAGCTCCACAATTTTCCACAGCAAAGAACGTAAACAGACAAGCTGTTCCTGGACTTTTTGAATTGGATGATCGATCAAAGCAATCGAGCCAGCCTCAGAACTTGTCACATCCATCATCTTTTCTAGAAGGGAATCAACAAAGCCCAGTCCATTGGTCGTAGGAAAAGTGAATGATGATGATTCTGGACACTTCTCTGTGATTACTGCATCGATGAGCTTAATTATTTCCAATAACTCAGAACACACGATATCCATATCCTTGGCTTGTATGGCGTCTTTGATTGCATTCAGGGAGAGTGGGGAAATAAAATCTCCTCCATAACATTTCACGACTCG